TGAGTATCTAAAATGGATATGTTTTCGCTGCAATCGTTTTTATTAAAATATATGTTTAATTGATGTAAATAAGTACATCATTTTTTGTTGTAATTCACAATATTATAACTAAAGAGTTAAAACTTTAATTATTTGATTTCYCTATTCAAGACAAGATACGAATATGGTAATATAATGATTTATTATTATTAAATATTTATGGTGATAAACTGATAGAGCTTATGATACCAATATTCAGTAACCTGTGCTACATTTTGTAACCATATTGGTAACTTAAGTTATTTTCGCTGCGACAGAACTTACGATAGAAGGCCGTTTTCTGCCGCAACTTGCGCAGATGATAAACAAAATCTACAGAATGCTCAAAATTTAAGTATAACAATATCACTGCAACGCCTAGCGTACAGTATATATATATATTACAAATAAATTATATATATGAAAAGATTCGTAATGAATAAAAATTAATAATATGCGGGCGTCCAGAACATTAAAATATAAAATAATATAGTATAATAAATTAATAACAATAATTGCACATATAATAATGTGCGCTTATACAATATTATAGGCGTTTAAGTACAATAAGGACCGTCAATGCCACAGGTATAAAAAATATATAATAATACTCAAATAATAATACTCATATAATAATCAAATACTAATAATAATAATTGGGCATTAAATCATAATATACACATAATAATTTTACTGGCCACTGAACACGAGTGGACAAATATGAGTTGAATGATAATATATATGACCTGATGGCGACAGCACTGGACAAAACTGGCTCCTTGTTGATGCAAACGACGACTGCTGCTGATGCTGACAAGCTCTCCGTTGACGAGTTCAAAACAACAATTCACTGGATATCGTTGAGCACACTCAATTAAAAACTTCGAAGTGGCAAAAATGACACCTCGTGATCACACGAGGTTTTGTTGGTGGCGACACGCAAAAATAACGGTTAACAAGCACGCTGTTCTCCGGTCAACCGTTGTAAAAGGACAGAGACACAGACGCCGAGCTGGCGAGCGGTTCGGCCGTCGGCTGACGAACTGTCACCAGACAGCGGAAGGGGGAGCTTGCCGGACACAGCTTTATCTTGTAGCCGGACACCTTATCTTTTGCCACACCTGTGGTGTCACGAAGATATATATATATAATTTGGCCAAAAGAAAAAAAATCGTTCCGCGGTCGAACATAAGTTCTCTTCCGTCACAGATGAGAACAATATCCATCCATTTCTTTATTATCTATAATTTTAAAGAATAAAACCGCTTAAAAAGAAAATCTTTGAAATTAAGGCCATCTAAATCCAACAATATTATAATGCTCTATTGTTTTTACTTCTGTCATTATTGTAGACTCTACAAACTTAAATTTTGTAGTAGATATATCTTTATTTTAAATAAAATGTAAATACCATGGCTAAATATATTTATAATATGAATAAAA